ATAAAAACATATATATATATATATATATATATATACATATATATATATATATAAAAAAACATATATATATATATATATATATATATATATATATATATATATGTATATATATATATATATATTTATATATATATAAATATATATATATATATAATATATATATATATGTATTTATGTATAACTATAACTGAGTAATTTTCCGATAGAAGTAAACAGCCATAATATTTATATCTTGTTTGTACTCTTGTGTAAACATAAATGTTAACTCGTCAAGTATATAAATGTATAAAGTATATATAAAAAATGTAGACAGTAACTCTCATGCTGTTATAGTTTATTAGTTTGTTATTTGCCTAAATGATCTTTAGAATTATAATCTTTAGAAATCTAATTTTTCGAGTTTGTTAAATTTTCAATTTTATTATTTTATAGTGCTCATCTTGCAACATATATTAAAGGTAGTCGAATGAAGTTTAAAAATGGAAACTCATTTCAAGACTTTGAAGGTTCTACTTTAGATGCATGGGATGAAGGTGACGACGAATCACATCTACCAAGTTCTCCATTTAGGCAGTCTCAAAATGAAGAAATATGCAGACCTGCTCTTGAAAGAGTAAATGGTGATGACTTACAAGATCGCCAACCTCAAGCAAGTGGTATCCAAGGAAGTGGTATTCAGGAAGAATCACGAGTTTCTAAACCAACTAGTTTAAAGCAAATGAAGCTAAAAATATCTGAAAAGTTAGGTAATATGCAAATTTCAATAATTTAATTAAATTGGGACCAGAATAAAGTTTATATCTGTTTTATCTGAAAGAAGACAATTTTAAGGATTATTAAAGATGGTCTAAAATTTAAAAATTATAACAGATTTGTGTGTGTTTGTTTAATAATAAAGAATCAGGTGTAGATAGAGTTTGGTAAATAATCAACAAGTTAATTTGCACATATAGACTTTAATTTTACATTGGTTGGGTAAACATTTCAGAAAACCTAGAAAAAAACCCTGACAGAAGGGCATATTTTTGGAATGGCATATATCTTACTCTACTCAGTAATTCCAAAATTTATGATTAAAAAATCTTTAACCTTTTAGACATTTTTTTGAATTAAAATTTTTTTTAACCAAGCTAAAACAATTAATATATGCACAAAAAAATCTAATTAAAATAAGGACCTTATCACTTTTTGTTTGTGTATAGTTATATTTTGGTACAACTTCTGAAAATTTTAAATTTTACATTTTTCTAATAATTTAAGATTAGTACATAAAATAAATATATAAGAAATGAGTGAAACTAAACTAAGATCAATGAAAAAGGAACATTTTATTAAAAAAGAGGCAAAACCAGCTAATCAGGTTATATATATATATATATATATATATATATATATATATATATATATATATATATATATATATATATATATATATATATATATATATATATATATATATATATACAACCCTCAGAATTAGGGTCAGCATTTGGCAATGCCGACCTAAACGTGGTCGACAAAAAAAAATCAGTTTTGCTAATCTCGTTTCGATGTTTTATGGTAAGAACTTTTCATTTGCTGACCTGATGCCGACCTATAAAAGATTGAGGTCGGCAAATTATTGCTGACCTCAATTTTCCTAATTCTAAGGGTTGATATATATATATATATATATATATATATTTGTTAATTCACCTCCCTAAGGCAGAAAAGGCCATCATAGATGAGGAGGCTGCCTAATTGTGGTTATAACCCTCTCTCAACTCTATAACTCCGAAACTCAAACCTTGACAAACTAGATTGCTGTGCAGAGAAACAGCAATCTAGTTCATAAGGTACTAAGTTAAGCGCGGTACTACCAGGGATGTGGTGGGGATCAAACTTGTAACCTCCCGCTTATGAAGCGAGCGCTTTACCACGACAACACAACCGCATATATATATTTACATGTATGTGTATATAAATATATAGATATATGTATATATATAAAAGTATATATATATATATATATATATATATATATATATATATATATATATATATATATATATATATATATATATATATATATATATATATATGTATATATGTGTATATATGTATGTATGTATGTATGTATGTATGTATGTATGTATGTATGTATGTATGTATGTATATATATATATATATATATATATATATATATATATATATATATATATGAATATATTATTTTATTAATTAATTAGCCAAAGTTCATGGAAACAGAAATTTGTCTCCTGAGAATGAACTTCCATACAGCTTTCCCCCACAACCACCATCTCCAATTCACCAAAGTTCTGCTGACATGAAAGATCAAGAGAATTCACGTCTAGAAAAGTTTGGCAAAATGCTTGCTGGTCCAATAACTGATATTGGTAAATATACTTCTATTATGAACTATAATAATTACAAAACTTTATTAAATATTTTTTATTACTGAATAAACTTTAATATATAATTTTTTCAGACCAACTACGTAAGTTGAGTTGGAATGGAATACCTGATGTTGTGCGTGGCAATACTTGGAGATTGTTATCGGTAACTGTGAAATTGAAATTGAAACTGTGAAATTAAAATTGAATAGACATATAAAATTGTGTTTTGCATTGACTAAATAAAACAAATGTTTGAGAATTTTTTTATTTGAAAACCTTAAAATCTTTAGTCAAAGAAAATAAGATTTCTTCAGAAAAATGTAATGACAATATACGTATTTTTTTAGATTTATTTTAGGGTTACTTGCCACCAAATATTGATCGTCGACAAGAAACACTTAAGCGCAAGCAAAGCGAGTACCACAACTTTGTGCTTCAATATTATCCAACTCGTCATGACCAATTACATGAAGAAACATTCAGACAGGTACAAATATCTGTAAAATTGTGTACATGTTCTGTAGTTTATACATAGAATTTTGTAGCAAACTTTGTAACAGTTTTAGACAATAGTTGCTCAGCAACAGCTTTTTGCAGCACTTATACAACAACCATCTGATTTTAATTATATTGACTTTAAATTGTCATTCTGTCAAATTTTAAACTTAAAGACAAAATAAAAATAAAAATTTGTTATATAGTGTAATTGATAAAGTATAATATAAATAAATTTTTTACATAGTATTATTACAATAGTAATAGAAATATTTTACATGTGTATTTGTATATTAATCTTAAGTAATCAATTATTTTCAGTGTGGAATGTTTGCTTTGGTCTTGGGGTGTAAACATGTAAAGACCTGTTTTATTATGCAATATTAGAATCCGTTGTTTTGTGAATTTTTTATTACTCTGTTGTAAATGACGGACAATCAACTAAACAACAAATCAAATCTTTGTTTCTTTATTATGTTACAAAATATTAGAAACATTACAAAAATATATTACGGGGCTCAAATTAAATGATAATGATTGCCATATCTGGAAATGATTCTGATCTTTAAATTTTTATCTTTTTAAAAACCGTAAACTCTGTTTATATCACTAAACTCAATAATTGTAATTTAATAAAAAATATTTATATTAATCTTGGATTCTAATATAAAAACCATATTATTACTATTATTTTTATTGTTATTAAAAGTTATGATTTAAACTTTTAAACTAAAAAATTTAAACTAAAAATATGTGAATTTTGGCTGTTATTATTTTTGCAGTCCAATCTTGCAATGGTTTGTAATCCCTCTTCACCCACACTTTACCCCAATAGCAGGTGTCCTTTAAAACCAAAAAAAAATACATAATTTATTAAAATATGCTATCTATCTTAGGGGGTGAAATTGTTGCCCCAAATACTGCTTTATTTGTTAAGACTTGTTTGGACTCCCTTACTAATGTTAACATTTATCATTGTTTTCAGAACTCACTTATTTAAAATTTAAATGCACGATTTTGAAATTTTTTGTTTGCAAGCATATTATTTTAACGCAGTGTAATCAACATTATACAGAGTGGCCGAAATAAAAGTTGCAATTTAGAAATTGTCCTATAGCTAAACTACTTCTTTTTCAGTATGTTTTCTATTTTAACAAATAAACATTGCAAACATTGTATACTCAAATGAATCAGTTTCATAATCTTTTCAGCATTTGTGTTAATATTTGGAATTTTTATTTAACAGTACTTTATAGAGAACTTACAAAACTCAAATTTTAAGAACACTTTTTATTGAAAGTATTGCTTCACTTCAAACATATTCACCAAATCATCCTCAAATGTTGCGTAAATATAAAAAAGGAAATCATAAAACAAGCATAAAATTATATGTGATAACAAATATAATTTGTTATTGCTTTAATTTAAAAAAAAAAAAATCCAAACAAAAAATTATTTCCTAAAAAACAGTACAGTTTAAATATTATTTTACATTAGCGTTACTTTTGATATTTTAAATTTAGTTTTTTTTTAATGATTTTATAACAAAACGTTTTTTCATTTCATCAAAAAAATGTAAGAACATTAGTTATTACAAACTTTTTTATAACAAAACGTTTTTTCATTTTATCAAAAAAATGTAAGAACATTAGTTTTTACTTTAAACGTCATCTTATAAAGAGTTTGATTTTTTAAAATTTTAAAAAAAAAAACTATTTATTTTATGGGTACAACTCTATTATTATTTTTTTGCTTGAGTTTACGCTTGAAGCAATATAGCTCTTGCAATGTCTTTGTTCTTATTTTTAAGATTTATTTTGCAAAAAATAATAGTTAAGAAAATTAATATTTTATAATAGTTACATCAGCTTTATATAAATAACAGATTGTCTAATAATAAAAAAGTAAAAACAGAAATTTGCTTATAATTAAGGAATTTTGATTAAAAAAGTTATTTAAATTTTAAAAAATTATTTTTTTTTCTCCGTTTCTCTTCCTTCTCTTCTATTTTTTCCAAAAATTTAAATTCCTTGTAAACATGTTATAACTTATAACACTGCATTAAAAATATTCATAAAGCATATGTTTAACTTTTTGTCTTAAGCGCAACAGTATATATTTTTTAATAAATGTTACTTAAAAACTTAAATCTTTGTTACAAAAAAAAAAGTGCTGGTAAAGTAATTAAATTGAGTTTTTTCTTTGCAACAAGTAATAGTTTTTGTTTGAAAATAACTTTTTAATAGTAAAAAATCATTATTTGCTAAGTTTCAATTTTAAGAAATAATGAAAACTATATATATATATTTTAATTCATTTATACAAATGTCGAGAAAAGAAATAAATTAATTTATGTTAAATGATAATAAAAAAAAAAATTAAATCAAAATTTCACATAAATTCACATTCACACAATTATACATTTACAAAATTTGTTTTCCTTAATTAGTAAAATAAACTTGTTTTGCGGTAATTTATTTTATTGTGTTGGTTCAAAAAAATTAATGTTCTTAAATAATAAATAAAATAAAGATAATTTTATGTCAAAATCACAAAGAGCTAATGATCTAAGCTGTTTTTTATTTAAAACAAGACCTCCCATTAGTCCTCCCATTAGTCCTCCCATTAGTCCTCCCATTAGTCCTCCCATTAGTCCTCCCATTAGTCCTTCCATTAGTCCTCCCATTAGTCCTCCCATTAGACCTCCCATTAGTCCTCCCATTAGTCCTCCCATTAGTCCTCCCATTAGTCATGTTTTACCTGAACATTTTTTTAAATAAATTTTCCACAAATAAAAATGATTATGAAACTAAATATAAATATTTCATACCTTTATTTCAAACCATAATACAAAATACCCAATGCAGAACTGTACAAGGTGTTCAAATTCTCAACATCGTTTCCATTTAGTCTGCAAAATCTACTTACCAAGTTTAACCAGATACGTGATTTTGGGGACCAACTTAAATTTTTTTTTAATTGTCTGGCATGTTTATTTTTAACTCTAACCACTAAATGAGTTTTTTTAAGTATCTCATCTATATCTAATTAGGGCTGCCAATTTGAACTTTTTTTAAACGTTCTAGCTTGAATACTTTCGAACTATTGAGGAAAAAAGTTCAAACTTTTTTTAATAGTTTTTACATATTTAAAATTGAAAACAAAAGGATACAAGTATAACACAAAACTGTTAATTTATTTATAAAGACTTTATATTTCCTTATAAAAAGTAAATGCAAGGTATCATCCTGCAATCAGTTTCTTTTTCTATGCAAAAACAATCAAATGCTAGAGAGCCCTTTCTTGAGATCATACCGTTTGAAAATCATGTATTTTATAACATTTTCAGTTCTTTAGCTAAAATCAATTCTTTGTTATAATTTCTAATGCTGTTGCAATTTTAAGCTTTTTTATTAGTATTAAGATTAGTAATCTCTCTAAGCTAAAATAATCTTTGAATAAGATTAATTTGCAAAATTATTTATATTATTTCCTTTTTTTTTTGTTCTCAAACTAATTACCTTACTCGCACCTCCTTTCTTACCTTGACGCGAAAATATGTCCAGAGTTTGGAACTCCTGCTTATAAAGCAAGCGCTGTAACCAATGCGCCACGGCCGCATATTTTGCTCATTGCAGCTTTTGACAACAAATGAAAATACTCCTAATCTTCAGATCTTCTAGATGTGCTAACGCTGAGTAGCCATTTTTTGTTTGAACTTAAAACTCTTTATAATTTTAATTTCAAACAGTGGTCAAATGGTGAAAAAGTACCAGCCACTGTTTAACTACTTTTTAATAGGAAAAAACTGATCCTACCTTAGGTTCAGATGGCGCTACAGGTGATGTCATTTTGATTATATTTTTAGAGTTTCCAGACAAATACAAAACAAAAAAAAGAAAAAATATTCAAATTTATAAATTTTACTTATGTTTTGGCTTGTTTCACAAAAATTAATAAAAAGACATCATTTTTTAAAGTTTAAAAGTTGGAATTATTAGGAGAAAAAAGTTCGAACTTCAATGTTGAAATTTTTGCAAAAAAGTTTATACGTTCAAACTTGAACATGTTCGAATTAGCAGCCATTTATCTAATAGTTTACAATTAATTCCCAATAACTCAAACCTCCAAAAGACCAAGGAAAATGGTTCGACTTAATAAATGTTAGACTAAAGCTAATTTCTGTTAAGTCAAGCTTTTGCTGAAATGAGATATTAGTTCGAGTTAAAGCAGTTTTTCTTTATTCAATGCTAAAGTATAAAAATATAAATAAAACTATTATACTAAAAAAAAAGTGGAAAATGTTTCAGTGAAAAAAGAAAACATTCAACAAAGATTAGTAAAAAAATTATTTCTTTATTATTTGGTAATATAATTGAGCCTAAAAGCTAGTGGTCTTTTATTAACAAATTCATTAATCTATAAATTAAAACAATATTTTATTATTATTTATTTGTATCAGTTTTATTATAGTATTATTTTATGTCTGATAATGATCTATTTTATTTTAGAAATTTTTAGAAATTTAAGAAATAATAATTGATAAAAATTTTACATATTTTAAATTATTTTTACAAATGTCAAGAAAAAAAATAAAATTTGTTTATAT